GATGGATTGTTCGGCAACGCTGATGATTCCGACGGAGTCGTCTATGCAATGATCCCTAACCTTTTCCAGCATCCATGGAATAGTGGGAAGAGCATGCTCTACTGTCCGTGCGGAAGTCTTTCCACCGATTCCATCTGCTGGGAGAAATGAACAAGGAAGAAGGAGTTTCCTAATAAATATTTTATTGAGGAAACTCAATAAGACTGTTAGGGCAATCCTGGCTGCCACAGAAAAGACAACGGGAGAGTAGCCCGAGTCGGTCAACACGAGTTGGAGAACCGATTGTATATTCCGTAGAACCATAGAGAAAGGAGTGTAACTTTGGTCTTGGTCAAATAAGTTATTTTCACGCAATTTCCCAAGTCACCCCTGTGCTGCAGGAGTGCTGTAGGATATGTTCAGGCAGTCTAATGACTGTTTGTATACGGCACTCCTACAGCACCCCTGGCTGGTTCTTTCGTTACTGAGAGGCTTCGGTCAAGAAGTCTAGTCGCTCATACGATAGCGCCTCAAGCTCTCAACCGGGTGATTTCAGGAGAAAAAAACCCTCAAGTCTCCATCTAGGAGCGTGGCGTCATGCTCTTCTCCGGGGCATCATGTTATGAAGTGAAAGAAAAGCATGCCGGCCGGTGTGTTTGCGACGGTGTGTTTAACCTTATTCTCTACTTTCCTACGCACGCATGCGTCCCAAAGAGGTACTTCAATTACGATAAAACCCAAGCGCTTATGCGAGATAAAATTACCTGGTGACAGCACAATGCGTGAGAAGATTGCCGCTTGGGGTAGACCCACCTCAGTAAGCCTGGCGGAGAATTTCACCCAGCAGCTATGCTTGCGTAATATCGACTGGACGCCGGTTGGGGTGCGAGGAACGGAGTGTGGCAGATCGCGGGCACAAGGATCGTGATGGTCGTCATGTCTGACGCATTTCGGAACGTTTTTCAAGCGAGCATCATATATTGGGTTGTGAGAGTCAGATGCTCGGTTGAAAACCGATAATGTAACCCCATATTCATATCGTCGAGCGGGTCTCCACGCTTCGTTTCTTTATGACGGCATAAGTATGTGCTATTATTTATGAATACCAAGGTGGGATGGCATGAGAGTGTTCTACAGACTTTGGCTGTGCACCGTTTTGAGGGCGCTGTACCACTGAAACAGCGGAAAATAGCGAATTAGCTTGTATTTTAAATTAATTATATTGCAAATTATTATAAGCTCGTCATAAAAATTGTAGGTGTTATTGGGATATTGATCGAAGCCGACGCCTTTGTGGATTTTTACTAGTTCAAAGCAGCAAATGTGCAGACGTGATGGAGCTGAATGTTAGAGGACGGGAGAATTTTATATTTTCAAGACGCCTACTCATATGCCACGTGTATCAGAGGCAGGCCAGTCATGACGCAAAATTGTGCGATGCGATTGTGCATGGGGCTTTTACAGGCATCATGATAATTTAAATTTACAGAATGGGTGCAGGAAAACTATACTCCCATAGGAATCTTGCTAGTGCTGTGAATACCATTAAGAATCATGAAATGAACAGAAAAATACATCAAATTTTTATGGGGTTTTGGGAGCAAAGGAACTTCCATAAAATTTTCCCATAAAATGTGTGGGCTCTGCTAAGAGATAATCTTGGACATGGAGCATCTCATCGACAAATAAGTTAAGTCTGGAAGCTCTCAAAAAAGGGGAATTTTGAGCAAATCTTCAACGAAAGTGGGTAAACCTCTGCCTGACATCGAAGCCGACGCCTTTGTGGATTTTTACTAGTTCAAAGCAGCAAATGTGCAGACGTGATGGAGCTGAATGTTAGAGGACGGGAGAATTTTATATTTTCAAGACGCATACTCATATGCCACGTGTATTAGGCCAGTCATGACGCAAAATTGTGCGTCATGTGCTGTCAGCGACATAGGCCAAACCTTGAGAGGGTCCCACTAAAAAGACTGCATGACTGATTTCCCCAGGGGATGCATCGAGACATAACATTTTTATTTAACTCTTTGTCTCAGTAGTCACATTCATGCAAAGTTTCAGCTTTCCAAGTTCATCACTTTAACTGATGGAAAAAATTATATGAAAACATCTCCATTTGAAATTTGTGCTCTAGGGGCATTAATAATACTTCCAACGTCTGAATTTTTCTGCACGCAGCATCCCAATGGGTACTAATGTTCCAAGTTTCATCTTTCCACATCAGCTCAATACTCCAGGGCAAACAAAAATTACGTGAAAACGTCGGTCCCTAAATATATGCCCCCACATGGCATGGATCTTACATTAAAAGTTTTTCCTGAACTCGTCGTCTCGGTTGACATGTTCTTGCCAAGATTTAGCTTTCCATGTCTCTCCGTTTTACTAAAGCAAAAATGTTGTGACGGAGTGGGAATGAGTAACGCGATTTTTGGAAGGCATAATAGGCCGAAAGAAAGCCTAGAAACCGGTCGGGAATCGAACCCGGACCTGCTGATTGCCGGTCTGGTATGCTACCACTACATCACCGAAACCATGACATCCATTTGACCCTCTCGATGCCATCCAAGTCCGTCACAATATATACCTTTAAAAACTTCTCCTCCCAAAATGTTTACCCCCAGCGCATGTACCTCCAAAGTAGGCATTTTTTTTACATCATCGATTCCTGCAATCCTGGAATATGCCAGTAAATACTATTGATGAACGCAGCAAATTGGTTGCTGCGAAGGGTACTGTTTCGGGGAGAAAATTTTGGCCTTGACATTATCTTTAACCTCCAAAGTAGGCATTTTTTTTATGAACTCTGCATCCCAAAAGGTACATGTGTACCAAGTTTCAGATTTCTAACCTTTTTAGAACATGCTTAGAATTAGCGTCAGTCAGTCACGATCGTCTGCATATATTAGATGAATCCTAAAAAAAAAGTTTCATTGAACAATTTCCCTGGTAATATCTAATTCACGTAGTTCCAGGAACGCATAGTTTGAACTTTTTTATTGCTTTAAAATCTGAACATTTAAGCAGTTAATAGAATTTTCCCAGGGACATCAATGGAACACCGGCCATAACTTGAATGAAACCTTGATTGAACACGTTCGGGTCTTACTTGGTTGGTGGTCTCTGATGATCATGGTGATTCCTTCCACGACAACAGAGTATTTCCTTTCCTCCGGTTTGCAGCAAGTTTTACCTGCAACTAGTTGTAAAACAAATATTTTCACGTTTATTTTTGGCTGGCTTCTCAATGGTCGCAGAAAAACTCCTAACCTGTCAATTTTAAACGTTTCTGTCCCCGGACAAAACCCCAGCATTTAACATTTTCCAGAATCATTGCTTACCATTGAAACATAGTAATTAAACTTGTATCAAATATTACCTTACAAGTATGATGCGAAGAATACGGGGAAATTAACCTTTTGACTGCTACTGACGCCATATGGCGTCAGTCCGGATGGCTCGGCAAAGGATTTAAATTTTTAATACCATTTTGAAGGTCAGGTATTTAACAACTTAAATGGACATCATATATGTATGTATCACTCATTATGGCTCCACATTTAAGTAAATATCAAGAACAACTGAAATTTGCATTTTTGGGGGGAAAACCCAGCACATTATTACAGGCCCATAAAAACCCAGCAGTCAAAAGGTTAAAACTCTTCACCTAAGGTCCGGTGCGTTCTACCTGACTTCAAATGATGGGAGGAACATAAACGCCATATCATGCTATCATGCCTATTGTAGTACTGAAGTACTGAATACCGAATACTGAGTACCGAGTACTGGATTTGGAACCCAGACATCTGCGTCTGAGGAAAGTACCAAACGTACCAAAAGTACCAAACGATTACGTCAGGACCACATTGGTAGGTGCGGAGGTACGGATGAGGACCCGAAGGCCACATATATGTACGTCTCACATTTGTGCCTCTTCTACGTTTCTACTTTGTTGTGCATCGAATAACCCATTCTGACCGAGAACAGGAGGAGAAATCGAGTATACCAAGCTCTGCTTCGTTCCCATCAGACGCAACAGTGGTCATGCAAGAATTCCGAGCAGACAAGAATGAATAGGAGAGAACTCACCAGGCACGGAAACCAAGCCGATGGAGCCGCGGTATTCACATGCGGTCTCCTAGAAACGCAGAAATCCCGCGACCAGAAAACACAACGAAACTACGAAACGACGACGTAACTTCGCTTTCCATTAGCCACATGTTGCCAAGCCTTTGAAATTTGACAGGCTAAATGAGACTAAAAAGTAACATCGCTAAGGAAATTAAACGGTTCGTTATAAATTGTCTCCTTAGTGCATTCAAGGAAAGTAAAGATTGGCTGACAATATACAACATGTTTATCCGAAACAGTCAGAAGATGTGTTCAATTCCGAACAAGCAATCGACAAACCTGAAAATTTACGAAAGTGAAAATGTGTGAAACATGGATTTGGATCATGGATTTTCTTTAGAAATTCCCAGATTAGCTGTGGTCTTCTTCACTTTTCCCTTTTTATTTAATTTTGAACCCTAAAACTCGGAATTCCGCGAAAAAAGATAATGTCAAGGCCAAAATTTTCTCCCCGAAACAGTACCCTTCGCAGCAACCAATTTGCTGCGTTCATCAATAGTATTTACTGGCATATTCCAGGATTGCAGGAATCGATGATGTAAAAAAAAGGACGCATCCCCTAATCCTCCTGTCATACTGAAATGAAGACATCCAGATTGAAAATTTTGGTTCTGAATGAGGAAAGAATTCTTTATCGCTGAGAGAAATTACAAGGAAACAGGAAAGCTTCACTTGATCCAGACTACAGTGCGTTTGCCTCGTCTCCTCACGGAATTCACCAATACATCCATGTGACTTCAATTTCGATTGGACGTTTCCCTGTACTTCATTGCATCCTCGATCCATCGCACGAACCTAATAGGGATGAACGAGAAATTTTCGACTACTCCGACATTTGATGAGGACGCTTCCAGACACTTAGGGAGTAACAGAGAGGGAGAATGCCGATCTCACGAATAGACTCGAGTGAATACGCCAAACTGCCCGGGGGTCCTCTCGGAGCACGGCTCTCCTTCGCCGTGATAGTGACTCACGATCCCGACCACAGTCCATTTCTTTCCCTCCGAAGCGGAGGAACGCAGGATCATGGGGCTCCCGGAATCTCCAGGACAAACCGTCTGGTAATCTACATTTCAAATCCCATCATCATCGACGTGGACATCGCAAAGTCACGAAGAAAAAATCAATCGTGAGTGGTTGAAGAACACAAACGCATTATCAGAGTACTAAAAGAGTTTTTGTCGCCACTCCTTTAAGCTAGTTGCACTATCCATCCATTACATTATCTGAATAATTTTTGACTTCACTTATCAAGTTTTTCGACAAAGTTCCAGAAATGTTCGATACTGCTTTCGCCAGTCACGGCAACCGTCGATTCGATACTCGATCTCTCTCCAAACTCGCGAGAGCATGTCTACCGAGAGCTGCCTCAACTCAAAGCCTTCTCATGTCGCAGCAATTTCTCTTGCGCTGGGTCAAACCAATCGGTAAGTTTTCTTTTGAACAAGTGATGTATTGGAGCTGTGTAAGGCCAGTCGTATTCGTAACACCTGACCGCCTGACTTTTTTGCAGAAAGGTCTCAGCACGCCCGCCCGACCCTTTCTTCAGATTCCTTCAAGAAGCCCTTGAGAAAGTCCTTGGAATCGCCATCAGTCTCTGCCTGGACTCTTGGTCGCTCAACTCCTTTCCGTCGGCACAGACATCCAGTCTCCAGAAGTTTATTGTGCCACTCATAAATGGAGGTCCTCGAGGAAAGAACCTTTTAAAACTCAGTTTTTAACATTCTCTGTACTGCTGTTGCGCATTTTGCTACATTATACCACAGAACGTAACGAGTTTTAGCTGAGAGGAAGCAATATATAATTTAAAAAAAAAAACAAAGATGAGCGCGCAGTTTGAGTGGTTCAAGCTAAAGCATAAAAAAACGTAAAAACGTAATAATAATAACAATAAATAATAATAAATAATAATAATAAATAATAATAATAAATAATAATAATAATAAATAATAATAATAATAATAAATAATAATAATAAATAATAATAAATAATAATAATAATATTATGAAAACGTAGCCATATTCCAATGACAAAATATTTTCAAAGGTAACCTGCATCTGTAAAGATATGAAGAAGTTCTGATGTTATTTTCCAGTTTTCTGGGAAATGGCATCATAATTGCTAAGTGTAAGCACGAGTAAGATTCTTGTTCTTGTTAAATAATCTATGCGGGTCAAATATTTTCATTCAAGTCATGCAAGGCATCTTCCCAAGTGAGCAGGTGTCTGCCACTAAACGATGATTGAGAATGGGATCAGAGACAGCGGGAAATTTCAGCAAAACTGGAATGGGTACCCTCAATGTTCTCAAAGGCTATACCTTTAAGGGCAGTATTTGTGTGATGACCGGCGCAGAACATGTTTGCCGTGAACGTTCCTGCGAAATCGAGTTTTCCTGTGCGCTGAATATCATATAGACGACAAAGGCGATTAGCAATGATCGGGAGTTCCACCTCCGTCAGGACGGACGGATAATCAGAGCCATTCAAACCCCAACCGGTAACCTGCATCGTAAAAACAGCGAACAAATGCATTAATGAGATCTCTCTTGGAAGCACTCTCTGAGCAAACATCACTATTACGTCTCACCCATCCTTTCAATCCGTTTTGGATAAAAGAGAGATGATTTCGGGTCGGGAGGCATATCAACTGTACACGCGGGGTCACCACAGAAGACTCTGACAATTTCAAAAGGGCTATGTCTGCGTCATAGTTGTGCAAGTTGAATTCCTCGTGCTTGATGATTGCAGACACCTGCAAAGAAAGTGTACGAACTCATCACGGGGGGAATCGGCTGAACGATGTGTGAGTATTTCTTGTAAACAAAACCTTTTTGATCTGCACCGATTCATCGTCCTTGGAATTATCTCGAAAATGCTTCCCAAGGTAAACTTGAAAATCCGTTGGCTCCCGGGCGTTGGCGGTTCCATGGACAGTGACACAATGAGCGGCAGTCAACACCCACTCCTCCCGTATGAGAGCCCCCCCGCAAATGAGATCTTTCCTCTTGACATCATAAATGGCAGCCTGCCAGGGCCACCCTCCGATGACCGACGAATTCCCGCCTCTTATCAATGGGTGTCGTATCGTCCTCTTCCCACATTCTAAGTGGAGCACGAGTTGATGATCTCATTTAAGAAATGCCAGTGGTCCTTTTGGTACCTCAGAGAATACAGCAAAATTCTGCCATGAACCCATTCGTATGTCATTTAATTTAAACCGAGAGTTGCGGCGAAATACCATTTAATTTACGAAAACTAGATTACTAGAATCTAAAAGAAGGCATATCATGCCATCCAACGACCATACCCTTGACTAATGCGCCACTGTATCGATAATAACGGATCGCTGCACGAACCCATCTTGAAAACAGGTAGGTACGCGAATGGGTGAAGGCATGCATCGCGTCTTTGTAATCCCTGTCCGTGGTTCCGTCGGATAATATTATTGACAGGAAGACATGCGCGGCTCGTGATATTTAGCAGCGATACATCAGGAGCTGTCACTTCTGCAGGAGTACGCAGGAGCAATACCAGTTGCATAATGCAAATTGTTGTGTTTTGAGTGCTGTTTTTCCATCTATCTCGAGATATGGGGTCTCAATAGGCACAACGCAAAAAGTAGTGCATTAAATTCGGAGAAATCACCCTCACCGGATCTCATAATCACCTGAATCGAGTAAGAATTCCTAATGAGCATTTCGGGTGGATAGGAGGAATCTCCAATTGTTTAACGTTGATATCATTATACTGCTATAGTTTTCGCAAAACCGGAAGTAACATGAAACAACGATGAGAAGTACCAAACTCCTAAAGAGTTTTATCGTGTTGGTGAACATCGAAAACGGATGCTTCAAATGCAATATTATTTATTTGTAGGTCGTAGAGCGTTGATGGATAGTAGAGAGATTAGGTCGGAATAAAGTCGTGCTTTCCATGCTAAGGAAGGAAAATAAATTTTCCCTTCATTGCATGGTTTCTCCCTGTTTCTTCCTTTGTCCCGTGTCTAGACCTGAAGCCCTCTCAAGAAAAAACCAGCTCACCCTCAGCTCTCCACATGTAAAATGGAATTCTCCATCATCAAATGTAGGAGTCAGAATGAGGTGGATTTGGTACGTTTGAAATAAACATAATTTCTGGCGGATTGTGGGGATAACACTTCGAAAGCAATAAATTTCTCGAAAGCCTTACCATTTGTATCTTCGATTAGATAATCAAGAGACTGTGAACCGGATGTGCCATGGATGGCGGCCCAAGTGTTGCGTCCAACGATACCGTCAACAACTAGACCGTGACGACCTTGGAAGCCCATGACCGCTGCCTTGGTATCTGGACCGAATATGCCATCTGCACTGACACCAACAGCTCGTTGCACTTCTTCAACACAGGGGCCTCTGGAACCCTCCTTCAACGTTTGGTTGCATAAACTTTCTCCTGGTGTTGAAGGTACACGAGCAAAATCGTATTGAACGAAATGATATGAAATGAAACAAAACAACGAAAGTAATGCTTTGAAAAACCTTTTCTTCTCTTACTTCTTAGAAGCTAAAAAAACTAAAATAAAAAACTTAAAAGCAAGAGGGAAAGCTATCTCTCAGAGGAAAACGAGTTGAGAGTTGCACTATCACGCCTCGTACCAAACTGCTGTGTTCAGCAAAGCAAGCACAAGTTTCCCATGGGAAGTAGGTAAATGGGTGGGTGTCCTGTGGAAAGTTCAATTGTCCTTATTTGTCCCGCAAATAAGAAAAATATTGGGAACTATTGATCTACAGCGAAGAGCATTTGTGAACATCAATACAATGACTTACATCCAGACTAATCAAGTAATTAAATTCCTTATATAATATTTTCTGCTCACTTTCGACATGGGAGCTTGTTGACTGACTTTTTCCTCTCAATATTAATAAGATTGGATTGCTTTCAATACTTAGCTACGACGAAAATGACTGTCGTTGCTGCCATTGATTCATAGACTCATCCTCGAAGAAGCTGCATGGAGATCAATCCAATACCGAGATCGACACAAGTACAGCACCCTCTTTCCATTTGGAATGGGTGAAACAATAAACCAAAAAATGAAGCCGTATTTATCATGGGAAACATGGATAACGATTTTCCTCACCGAAGGTTAATTCCTGATACACCTCCCACATGAAGTACCATCCGCAACATAACCCAAACAGAAAACTTTAATTTCTCTCGATTATAGGTAAAGGTAATGATAGTTGGGTTTACCTAAGTACTGTAAGCTACCATTGTTGATATCCAGCCCCCTACTTTTTAAGGTGTGTCTTTCTAACGATTCCACATAAGCATTCTCGAGCTAGTTGTGCAAGGTCCAATAGAGTAGTTAATGCTGCATATTTAGGTCAGGAATCATACTTATGTAATTACATGTAGAGGCCTTTGAGTAGAAAATTAATTTCTGATCAGAGCCGTTCCCTCTATGAGAAAGTAAGTGGAATTTCCCATTCAGTATTGGTTTCTTCCCGTTTCTCCTTCCCTCCCATCCTTGTCTAGACTCGAATTTCCCTTGGGAAAACGCTCACCCGTATCTACACCCGTACACCAAGTGTAGGAATGAAATTCTCCATGGTTCAGAGTGAGGGTTTCTTACGCTCGGAACAGAATTAGAATATAGTTTCGGATGTAATAAAGTTCTCGAAAGTCTTACCACTTGTATCCTTAATTCGAAAATCAAGAGACTGTGAACCGGATGTGCCATGGATGGCGGCCCAAGTGTTGCGTCCAACGATACCGTCAACAACTAGACCGTGACGACCTTGGAAGCCCATGACCGCTGCCTTGGTATCTGGACCGAAAAATCAAGAGACTGTGAACCGGATGTGCCATGGATGGCGGCCCAAGTGTTGCGTCCAACGATACCGTCAACAACTAGACCGTGACGACCTTGGAAGCCCATGACTGCTGCCTTGGTATCTGGACCGAATATGCCATCTGCACTGACACCAACAGCTCGTTGCACTTCTTCAACACAGGGGCCTCTGGAACCCTCCTTCAACGTTTGGCTGCATACAGCTTCTGCCAGTGGTTATGCTTAGAAAGTACGACAACGAATAGTACAAATCTACCCCAAAATTGTTTTTCCTATGATCTTATTTCAAGCTTCAACAGATGAGCAGAAGACAATTTTAAAATGGAATCTCAGAAAACATGGTGACTTCCAAGAACCCTCCATAAGAATGAATGCACGGTGTCCTAAGGACGAGAGTACTGAGTTTCCTATTAATGTTATGATTTTAGTATTTTTTTTTACTATTTTACCACATCTTCCAGCGCTGAAGATGTGACAATTGGGAGTTTGTATGCCCTAAGACCAAACGAAATCGCTGGTAAGTAATGGTTGTCGAAGTACCAAACCTTGCAATTGCTATTTATAACGCCGGTCTCATAGATCAATGCCATGGTCTACATTCAGACAGACTTTGAAGTTCCTGTCGTACTTGACATGCGCGAGTTTGGTTGTGAAGACTTTTTTCTCATTCTAAAAATTGGAAATTAAAATCGTTGGTATGTGGTTGGGATACGCAAGACCACTGCATGACCAGGTTGGACGATAAAAACGTGGAACTCACATATGATCATAAAGATGGATTTTTGAACAGAGCACTATTCGACAATCCAATACTTTAATTCGAGGAGGTCAAAAGTTGTGGTGGTGGTGGTGGTGGTGGCTGTCACCCCCAACGCGCCGGCCTACAATACAATGCCTTTTTGTGTCATAGGCCAAGCCATCCGCGGCCTAAAGCGCCAGGCCTACAAGGCCACACCTTTCCAGTACACATCTAATCTTAATACTTTAATTCGAAGAGGTCAAAAGTTGCGGTGGTGGTGGTCGTGGCCGTGGCTGTCACTCCCAAAGCGCAGGCCTACGATGCAATCCCATTCTGGATCATAGGCCACGCCATCGACGGCCTAAAGCGCCAGGCCTACAAGGCTACGCCTTTCCAGGCTATCTTATCTTATACTTTAATTCGAAGAGCCCGAGAGTTGTGGTGGTGGTGGTAGTGGTCACCCCAGCGCGCGAGGCTTACGAGACTATCACTTCAGGCCATAGGCTTGGCCATCCACCCCTCAAAGCGCCAGGTCCTTGAGGCTATGCTATTCTAGGCCATAGGCTTGGCCATCCAACGCTTATAGCGCCAGCTATATCGGTCTGAGCCATAGGCTTCATACTTCGCTGTGTCAATTAAAGGGTGGTAATAACTGAATGCGTGTCAACTTTTCACTGATCGACTGCAAGTTCTCCGTTTGAGTACATTTTTTGTTGAAGTGTTTTTTTTTTCTGTATTTACTTTTTCCCGTTAGGTCAGGCGTGGCGGTTCGGGACATCGCTTCCATGCAATAGTTTTCTGCTTGCGTTTCATGTCATGGCCGATTTATTTGAGTTCTGATGATTGATGAAATCAAAATAATAACGTAAGTTCTTTGTTTCATGCATCGCGCAAATGGGCCGCTCCTCCCATCAAAATGGTGGCGATTTTTGCGAGGTGAGGTTGAACGTGAAAAAAATATGTTGAAAGAGGTCTCACAGGACGATGATGAGGCAGTCGCTGCAGATAAACGATTGGTGCTGGCGCGGAAACAACGTATGCCACTGCAGTTGCGGTGCAAAGTGCCTAAATCGGTGCTAGCCATAATGGCTAGAATGACTGATGAACGTAATGGCTAGAATCAGTGATGAACAGCAAGCAGATGTGCGTAGGGCCGCTGAGACCGCTGAACACCAAGAGGCAGCGAATGCTGAGCTCCGGAATACGAGAGCCGTGCAGCCTGCTGAGCAACTTGATGCAAGGGACGCAACACTCAGGTGTCGAAAGCCGGGGGGCGGCCGGGAATTGAACCCGGTCCTCCTGCTTGCCGGTCAGGTGTGCTACTATTACACCACGGAATTCGGGAGACTTTGTCAGACCTCTCCATGTCATCTCAAATCACTACAGTCGTTTGCGAGCGAGCACTGAAAGGCTGTACATATTGATGTGAAACAAATGCCTCCTCCCTACAACAGAAAAATGCTCCTCCTGCAACTCACACTTTACCACCAGTGAGCAACACTTTTAGAGCCTCAGGGTAATGTGGTGGCGAGGCATTTTCTGGAATTAGTCGCTAGCATTGTGTCGCACATGCACTAAATTATCTTTGTGCCTTCGAACAAGTTCTTCGAAATGGTCCGTACTGTTTCAGAATCATTGGTGTCTGTATCATATGCTAACGCTCATAGCCGATGAGCTAATCGGTGATGCAAGAGTACTGAGTGTGCTTAGGAGAGGAAATCAGCAAAGACGTCTTGAGTCTCATGAAAGCGTGCTAAACCGTTCATAATAACCGATTGTGGCGATCAG